AGAGAGAGTTTTTCTTTCTTTTCGAAATTAATGCTGTTTCCACATATTGTTGAACCAGAACCCATAATAACTTAAAAAGAAATGGTTTGTTACGTCAGTTCATATATCAATATCTGGAGCAATCATGAAATCATTTATGAAGCAAATCATATATATTGAAATAAAAAGAAGAATGTTTAAAACAGAAGAAAAACACACTTTATATTTGAATTAAAGCAAGGTTACAAAATTTCGAGACTTTTTCAAAATGTAGAAGTACTGAATTCTCCATATGAGTTAAATACAGTTACATTATCTGGTGACCCCTATATGTAATTCCAATCGAGTTTTTTTTTGACTAATTTAAAAGAAAAGTCAAAAACATTATTATATCTTAGAAATATCAAGTGGTCAATATAATAAAATATACTTTTTAAGTCCTGACTTACCTGTCTTATCAGAACAGCACAATTTCATTAACATGATGGCTGTTGTAATGATAACTAATGTTGTTGTCATGGTGATTTTTTGTGCTGAAAATATGAATTTGTTAATGAAAAGCAGAACGCCAATTCATGGTATCTCGCACACCACGAAGTCATTGAAGCGTGATTGTTAATCTAGATGAAATCTAAAAAAAAAAAATAGTAAAGAAAAATAACGAAACGTGTCACCCCAAGGAAACGATTGGTGATTACTTGTTGCTTGTGGGTTATTTTTCTATAAGCTAATCCATGCAGAAAACTAGTGTTGCAATATAACAAATATTTAAAGCAAATAAAAGCTCAAAATTCATTACGAAACAATTATTTTTCAAGAAATTTACTGACCGAGCTTAATATCAAATTAGACGTGTTCATTGCTACATTGGTAGTTTTCAGGACGCTGTTTTCCATTTTTCTTCAAGCAAATGAGTATCATAAAAATTAAAACTAAGCTAACTTTTGCATTACTTACCTTGGTGAGGCCCTTGCTGTATATGTTTAAACCCACAAATGTTACTTAAAACAATTTCACTCTGTGTTGAATGACGGGAATTTTTCTTGAAAAAAATCATATATGGAAAAGAAAATCTCTATTCAATCATGGAAAAGAAAATCTCTATTCAATCTCTGAATACTTTAATCATCGTAGAAGAATAAAAAGTAGCTTTGATCAGGTATAATTAATCGTTTAACCTTCAAAAGATATCGATTTGATATGTTTACTCCGGAAAAATTAAAGTATTTGAAAAAAATTTCCCACGTTAAATAGTATCTATATTTACTTTTATCGATCATTTTATAAATATTCATGTGCTTGCATAAAAGTAAGAGAAACGAGCCAGGCTTTTACATTTTACACATAAATATAAGTAATGCCACAGTATTAGAGACTGGATAGGGGGGACCTTATTTCTGTATTTTTGAATTTGGCTCGTATTTCTATATCTTATTTTAGTACTATAATTCTCTATTTAGTAAGCCCCAGTCTCGCTTCACAATATGTTTCTTATACTGTGGAAACAAATATTGGAGTAACGAAAACCGGACTTGCATAAAAGAAGTCCTTACAAAGATATAGAGAAAGTTAGGGAGATTGAGAAAATTAGAGACGTGCAGTTTTTTTTTGTGCGTTTGATGCGCAAGTTAATAACCTCTGGTGTAAATAAGACGCAAATACCACTCAAGAACGTGATATCGAACGGAGACTATATGATAAGACGTCTATAAAGTCATATTTCGTCAACTTATACAAATTAATAATTGCATTACCTGCATGTTTCATCATAATACGTTATTTGATTGGCTGTTTCATTTTAATATGTTATTTTGATTGGCTGTTTCATTATAATACGTTATTTTGATTGGCTGTTTCATTATAATATGTTATTTTGATTGGCTAACAGCAATCTCCCGTCATTCTGAAATCAACCTCAAAATGAAACATAACATTCATGATGACAAGAGCTTCCACAATAAAGTGCACAAGTATATATAATAAAAACTTGACAGAAATCGTGTTTTTATTATCCTAGCAAACAATGTAATTATTAGTTTCATGCTTCTTTTAGTAATTTTATAGGGTTGTAAAAGCGTTTATCTTGCGCACATTTTTAGAATAAAATTTCATACTTCTATCAACGCTTTTACACCCCAATGAATTAACAAAAAAGAAGCATTCAATTCCTAAATTTATTTTTTTACGGTCTCACCGAAGAATGTAAATACGGGTTGGGCAATGGCAATCTTCGGAGTGTATACTGTCTGCTTCTTGATTGAAAGATATCATCGACTCATGTACGTTGATTGGTTGAGACAATTTGAATCTTAATAAATGTCTTCCAATCCGAAATTCCAAGATGTTGGGGATAACTTCTTTATCTAGTAATTTCTATATTTCAGATAAACTTGACTCAATTCACTCACTTTCTTTATTCGTACATTAGTAAAATATATCTTAAAAATAAAAAAAATGTATATTAGAATTCAAATCAGTTTTTTCCAATATATTAATTCCAATCTCAAGAGCTCCGTATTTTCCACGAACTCCAGTCCATTGTTAATTCAAAGGTTGAATACTATCTATCATTGCATCTTCTATCATTTTTCTTTTCATACAAGCTTTTAAACTTTGGAAACTCAGATCTATTTTTGGGGGGAAAATAGTACACAGCTGACAATAGATATAAGAAGATGTGGTATGAGTGCCAATGAGACAACTCTCCATCCAAGTCACAATTTTTAAAAGTAAACCATTTTAGGTCGAAGTACGGTCTTCAACACGGAGTCTTGGCTCAAACCGAACAACAAGATATAAAGGGCCCCAAAAATGACTAGTGTAAAACCATTCAAACAGGAAAACCAACGGTCTAATCTATATAAAAATAAGGAGAAACACTTATAAACCACATCAACAAACGATTACCACTGGACATTAGCTTCCTGACTTAGGACAGGTGCAAACAAATGCAGTGGTTCTTAACGTTTTAATAGGTACCAACCTTCACCCTAATCTGAAACAATAGTGTAGCATCACACCATAGAAAGACACACTATAAAATATCAATTGAAATGGCATAACTCAATCAAAAGACATATTAACACAATCACTGAACAAATACATTTGATCTGTGACACAATATAAATACAAAATCAATAAAATAAGGGGTGAGATGTTAAACGATATCAGAAAGACTAACTATAACCTTGGACAACATGCCACATTTATTCTGTAATAATTTGCGTGTTTCTAGTATTGGATTTTAGATGGATAGTATCACCTGTTATAAATTTACGTTTAAAATGTACAGGTTACATTGATTTTTCATGTAACTTTAGAATTGTTTTATAAAATATTTTGCTTCTGACATACAAAATAACAACGTTTTTGTTACCCTTTCTCCTTAAAACACAATAAAAGAATCATCTCGGGGTAAAACAAAACTTACTGGTCAAATATAAAAAAATAATTGCCCTCTTGTAATCACGAGGAGGGATTAATTGAAAAATCAAAGCTATGGGGTTAGCTCATTTATTAAAACCGTACGATGGCCTACAATTGATTTCATCTATGTCATTTGGTCTCTTGGGGGTAATTGTCTCATTGGCAATCATATAATATCTTCTTATCTTCTTATATTCTCAATAAGTTCAATAAGGCAAACTAAGTTGACCGTAGATGGATATGCCTTTGTCTTTTATCACAGGTCTTCATATGTTTCGCTTTTTATACATCCTTGGGTTTTAACTCTTTGGTTTTAAGCATTCCTGATAATGTACTTATTACACACTATCATATGTGTATGCTCTATGAACCATGCAATCTTATATATTACTAGTAAGTAAAAATTTCGCATCATCATACACAAGTGAACTAAGATTCAAGTTGAAGTACATGTAAGCACAAAGTTAACTTCACTGAAAACGAACTGATTTTTATAGTTCGTTCTTATGTTGTACTGTTACATCACTGTCCCAGGTTAGGGGGAGGGTTGGGATTCCGCTAACATGTTTAACCCCGCCACATTCTGTATGTATGTGCCTGTCCCAAGTCAGGAGCCTGTAATTCAGTGGTTGTCGTTTGTTACTGTGTTCCAATTTTGTTTTTCGTTCATTTTTTGTACATTAATTAGGCCGTTAGTTTTCTCGTTTCAATTGTTTTACATTTGTCATTTCGGGGCCTTTTATAGCTGATTATGCGGTATGGGCTTTGCTCATTATTGAGGACCGTACGATGAGCTATAGTTCCGTGTCATTTAGTCTCTTGTGAAGAGTTGTCTCATTAGCAATCATACCAAAATAAACCAAAAACTGGGTACATGTCGTGCTAATGGACGGACAGAAGCTAGATAACTAACCAGAAAACAGAATTCCCCTTTATACGGTAAGTAGAGCATTCTGTTTAGTCAAAGTGCAAGTTTCAAAAGTAAAAAAACGACTTTAAAAAAGTAATACATAAAAACTCCACATTAAAAAAAATCCGGCAATTGCGTGGTCTTGTACAAAGCAGGCTTTATCTCATTTGCACCCATACCACATCATCTTATATCTATTTATATTCATATCATATTGCCATGTCCTTTATCATTTCATTTGCCACTGGACGTTAAATAGCCATCCATCCATCATTAACATTTATACACTAAATCTAATTTTCCGGTACAAATAAATTTGATCTTTTAGACAGACAACATTTATTTTCTTATATTACAAGTATGGACACAGTTTAGTGTGGATAGTAACTGTTCTTCTTTTTAGTATGTTTGACAGTTTCCTCTTCCGAGTTTATGCATTGGTTGTACCACAACAGATGTTTCCTGGACTATTTCTATGTCTTTCTCATGAGGTTCTATGTTAAACATGTACGACAGTGAAGCCATATTGGATTTTCAAAAATTTAGCAAAAATTCAAAATTAGCATAGTACAGGGTCTGATATTAACCCTTCTGAACAACTTTCCCTTGAGGAAATGACCATACTTGTTTGGAAGAGACAACCACGTGTAGAAATTTTGTGTTTTTTTTTTATATTATAACGATATACTATTTCAAAGTATTTTATTACAAATTATTATTGGTGATTACACAGTAAGACAGTTCATACATTAGACAGTGGGATAACTGGCTGATGTTGAGATACCACAGTTGTTGCGTCTATTCCTGGACATTTGGATATAACCTTTCTGTCCCCATGATTCTCCCCAGCTGAAAATAAATAAATTAATAAGTAACAAATATAAGGGATATAAATTTAAGATGCATGTAAAAAATAAAGTAGCGTCAACTCTGTCCGCTTACTCAATTGAACAGAAAATGTAATGAATTTCATTTTATTATTTTGAGGAATCCGTAGGATGATTAAGATAACCAAGATTGAAAATATAAGTTGGAAAACTTCGGATACAATCGACAAACTAAGGATATCCTCGACAAACTTCGAATATCGTCGACAAACTTTGGATATCATCGACAACTTCGGATGTCATTGATGAACTCGAGATATTCTCAACAAGCCTCAGATATCAAACACGAAATAAAACAAGTTTTTTTTCAGTATACAGAATTTTTATATTTAAATTTGATCAGTAAATACATGACAACTGATTTTTTTTCAAGCTGTAGAGTGTTTTGAAAGGTTGAGAAATGTTCAGACACTTTTCTTGTTTCAGTATAAATGAAAACAAGGATTTATATAGTATCTTACTAATAGTATATGCAGTCATCCTTGATGAACTTAAAGCTATTTTAATTATTATTACCCAACTAAATAAAACTATAAAAAGGCTTATATATTATTACGTCTTATCATCATACTATTGTATGTAGTGGTTCATGACTAGACATTGAAGTTTTTTTAAATGTTGTTTTACATGTATATATTCCTAAACACGTCAATATAAAAGGAATAATGTACATTACTTGGTAAGACACTTTTGTTGCACTCAGCTGTTTGTTCACTTGTCTCGCTGAATACAAGTGTTCAAACACCATTATGTAAGAGGGTCTCGATGCTGGGTTGTTTCGTTCCATATTTTTTTATTTTTTGGCATTTTTTCTCTACTCTTCACTTGCTTTGCTCATTATTCTCTATTCTTTATACTGTTTAAACTTATTTTTCTCTACTCTTTATATCTATTAAAACCTATTTTTCGCTATCCTTTACATCTTTTGCCACTTTATGTACAATATTCTCTATTCTGTAAACCTCATCCAGGCTTTCACGTAACTCACCTATTCTGTAAACCTCATCCAGACTTTCACGTAACTCAACTATTCTGTAAACCTCATCCAGACTTTCACGTAACTCACCTTTTCTGTAAACCTCATCCAGACTTTCACGTAACTCACCTATTCTGTAAACCTCATCCAGACTTTCACGTAACTCACCTATTCTGTAAACCTCATCCAGACTTTCACGTAACTCACCTATTCTTTACAATCCAAAAGTCCTTTCCGTTATCTGTTCCGTAACCGACAGCTAAAACACCATGGTCAAGTCTGGTCTGACTACAGAACCATTCATGGTATACACCAGTCTTGTAAAGCTGGAAACTAGTATGGCTAGCGTCGATGGCTACGGCGATTGGGCCCTGTGTAGCTACAGCGGACATCAAATCGTCCTCACTTTTTGTCTTGATGTCAACAAATCCAGTATCGTTGGCACCAACATTGGCTGCGTTGAAGTTACATTTTCCATTCTGAAATAAAAGGTTAATTATTATTTATATAGTTCCAAACAAAACACAGTATGTATAATCCCTGTTTGTCAAATGTTTGGGTTTCTAAAATTTTCGTTAGCTGGATGAAAACACGTATTTGAATTGCGTTTCTTAATGATCTTTAAAACTTTATATAAAGTTGATATGAGCAAAATGATGATCCACACCAAATCGTGAAAATTGATAGTCACGAAAATAAATGAATCTACATATACACAACAACATCTGTATACCTGCTTGCAATAGGATATTTATTCAGGTATCTTTCAGATTGATGGATTGATGTTGCTTGCCTTATGTCCAGTCGAAAATATTTCATATATATTCAGGGCGAGAGTAAATTTACAATTATTTCAATAGAGTCCTTTTGAAAAACAGGGAATGAAGGGCTGAAACTTTTAAAATACCGCTAAAAATGGAGACATATTTGATAGAGACAAAAAAGTTGCCTTGCAACAGACCCCCTACAAATTTTTCAGAGAGTTGTCGTAAGGTATCTTTATCGTCCAGAGAGCACGGCACTCATCCTACTAAAGGCATCGGATTGAACTTTTCTATTCAGATCGGACGTGGCCGCGTATTTATACATCCGGCACAGCAAAAAGGACGTCAAACTTTAGTAAGGATCGGGTCTAGATATTAAAAGATTAGAAACACCATAGTATACTATTTACCTTAGCCGTATACGAGTATGAAGCCTCGGTATCAATTCTTACCTTAGCAGTATATGGGTATGAAGCATCAATTCTTACCTTAGCAGTATATGGGTATGAAGCCTCGGTATCAATTCCATTGTTTGTCTTAATGTAGGTGAAGGCCAGATCCATCAAACCTCCTTCACATCCATGGTTTCCTACGAACAATTATCAAATGTAAGCCATATCATTTTGCATAAAAGTAAGCTGCTAAAGTTAGGGAGGTTGATTTAAAAGAGTTGAATTTGTATATAGATATAAGAAGATGTGGTATGAGTGCCAATGAGACAACTCTCCATCCAAGTCAAAATCTATAAAAGTAAACCATTATAGGTCAAAGTATGGTCTTCAACACGGAGCCTTGGCTCACAATGAACAGCAATGTATGCCTTCGTGCATCCCAACATCGTGTGAGAATAAAAATATTTGTATTAGTTTGACATAAGTCATTGATTAATGCGAAGAATTAAAGCAAAATAAAAAAAAACAGTTTCCATTATATAAGCTTAAAACCAATTCGACACGCAGGTGTATCCTTTATTGTACAAGTTCTAAACAATGAAGACCCAATGGTGGCCTTCGGCTGTTGTCTGCTCTATGGTCGGTTTGTTGTCTCTTTGACACATTCCCCATTTCCATTCTCAATTTTATCTAATCATTTATTGGTCATTACTTTCGCTTATCGCCTAGTAGAACAAAAATTATGCATAGTCAGGACGAAAACATATTGACAAATTTTGTCATCAGCAAATTAAAACATAACTAAATTTGTATTCTTTTCAAACGGGATGTATAAAGACACACCCACGTTCATTTTGATCTATAAAGAGGTTAAACTCCTAACTATCCTACTGCCTGTCGATACATTTATTTTTGGCATTGCACAAGTCATGTCTTCTTTCACTGTCCATGACGTTAAAATACTAAATCCCTTGGAAGTGGTTTAGTTGATTTTAGTCTCTGATGCATGATTTTTTTTATTATTAATTGTTTTTGGCTTTTAACTAGCTGTCAGTAAATGCGAGTACTCTCAAATCGTACTTTCTTGTTTATTTGACCTGTTGATACTAATTGTAATGCTTTTTTGTTATTTAATGTTATTCAGGGTTATATCTGGTCTATATACCAGCTTTGATAATTGTTTGATATTACTTAAATTTTCACTTCGTACTATGAACATCAAAGTTATTTATTTTGTAAAAATATTTCCTTTCTCTATTTGATCTGTACACGTATACCTAACAACAAAATTATTTTCATTTACCTTTGTTTAAAGTAATTGCAAATGGCTGATATTTTTGTTCGAGCATATTGTTTTTCTTAAATTGTTTAACATTTCATAGCGGTATAACATGTTACTTTTATTATTCTTCCCTTAGTTTATTTATTTTGTGTTTACATTGTATCATAGGTCAAATTTATTTGTTCAGTGTATGTTCACTGGTGTTAATATGTCCTTTGATTGAGTTAAGCTATTTCAGTTGATATTTTATAGTGTGTCTTTATGTTGTGATGTTACACTATTGTTTCAGAAAAAAACACTCATACCACATCTTCTTATATCAAATTATTCAAAATTTTGGTTCTCTGAAACGAGTAGATGAAGGTCGAGAGATTAAGATAATCGAAAGAATAAAGGGTATGTTGGTTAGGGACAGACATTTGGCCACCAACGAACCACGCAAAGCGTTGTTGCAAGGCAGGCTTCTTCCACGTGCTGAGCGAGGCACTCTCCCTACACGAAGAGTCGAATTTAACGTATCCATTCAAAACAAGACGTGAATGCGTATTCATACATCTCTCATAGCTATCATTAGAATTGTTTCCATATTTCTATACACAAGTTTACCCTTGCTGTGAGAAATCTTGACGGACCATCATTTTTTATCGTAGAGTATATATATTGTAAACTGTAAAGAATTTGTACATCTTAACTCAAGGTACATACCCTGTTTTGTTGAACAGTCTACCAAGTTTTGCTCAGAGAGAGATGTCAATTTTCCGGTCTTCTTGAACCATTGTCCCTCCAGAGATCCAGTAGCACTGAAAGACCAGCATGAACCACATTGTCCCTATAAAATACAAACTGACATATTAGGGTTATGTTTAAGGAAATGTTGTCGTCATTGATATGCATTCATTTTAAGAAGAGTCGATAACTGTTAATTATATTCGTAATGGATTTGATTCCGGTATATATTTGGTGATTTCTCTTATCCTTTTAATGTATTTCTAAATATAACAGTTTTGCCATCAACTTAAATTCCAACGTGTCAAACACATCAAAATTTAATCAATCGAAACACAACCTTACCAAAATAAAACAACAACAAAACTCAACATAGCAAAAAAAAAAAATAAATAAAATAAAACCAATATTATTTCAAGTTACGACGATCGCTATCTTTAGAAATTTTTCATACCTGATTTTTAATTCCTGTGACGTAACCTTTGGTTCTCCAGTCAACAGAGGTTGGTGGATCGCCGACGTTAGATGGAGGTAAGTATGTTGAGCCACTCTTCCTCTTCTCGTCCAGCTTGTAACCATTCATTACTCTATTGAATTCTGCGTTGCTCTTTTAAATGAACAAATGTTTAGATGAGTATAATATAGATTGCTGCTTTAATTGTGGATACATTTACATATGGATAAAAAAAGTACTGAACGTATATATCAATGTACAGTTCTATATTTAGTTTAAACGATTTTGCTTATCGAAGCCTTTTATAAAGCATCTACGTTGTATGTTTTTCGATTGTGTATCAGTTTTAGGTATACATTCAAACATTTGTGATAAAAACTGGCTTAAAAAGTACTTGCATTTTCTAATATTTGTTTGATTTTGAGTAAAATAATCATAGTTTGTTTTTGAACCCTACATGTAATTGATACTAAGATATAAAGCACAATACGTTAAAACCACGCTAAAAACTTATTTATAATTAATTCTGCTTCAAGATTATGTAACTTTAAATCCAAATATACCTACCATATCTCCGTATTCGTTCATTCCAACCCAGAAGGTATGCTGTCCTCTGTCTGCCTCCAAGTTGTGTTTCTCAATAAAGTTGAGATGCTGTTCCCAGGTAACACGTCTGAAATAAAAACATCCATTCGAAAAGTTATAGTACAATATACATAACACAGTTATAATATACAGAATAATGCAATATTTGAATATAAAAACGGTACATTGACAAAACACAATAACATATAAAAGAATTATTCCCGCCAATGAAGAACATCTTTAGGTTTTTGTATAAGTTTGTTGAGGAGAAGGACTGCATCACGAAAAAGAACAAATAAAAAGCAATGAAACTCTCTATCATAAGTAAATACAAGGAGATTTGATCTGCATCAGCAACTTATCGGCACAAAAACACAAAGTCTTCCACAATATGTGATATTGCTATACAAAGGCCCCGAGTATAAGAAGTATAAAATTGAGAGAAGCAAATGTTTCCTATCTACTCCAGTTTACCAAATGGTAAAAAGCATCATGATATAACAAATGACGACGACATGAGTGGCACAGACAAACATGTTACAGGGTTGATCTAGTCTGAGATTCCATTCTCACCTTTTGATTTGTTTAATGTTTTCTCCATCTGAATATTCATTTGATATTTGCCACTGAACGTTAAGCAAACATAATTAAATCAAATTTTATACTTTAGTCATTTGTAGAAAAGTTAAAAAAGGGTTTTCTATGAAAATAATTTTGTAAATGGGTACCTTCAAAAGTTTAAACAAAAAAGTGAATGAAGGTAGAACTGGTAATCAGGTGGTCGATTTTCGTTTTAAAAAAGTTTCCGTCTCCGCTACAAATAATATTAAAATATGGTATGATTGCCAAATAAACAACAATGACCAGAGACCAAGTGACGTCGCGGTAAGTAACGATGTCACCATAAGGCCTTCAGCAGTGAACAACGCCCTATTGTATAATACTTAAGTATAAAAGGCCCCGATATGACAAAATTAAACAATTAAAACGAAAATCCAAATGGCCTGAAAAAACAAAAATGACACGTATATTGTACCAACCAACGACAGTGTATATTGTTGATGGATGACGGATATTTCTATCCTAAATTTAATGTCCATAAAACATATTTTATTCACCGAAGGGCATTGTGAATATAAGAATATTTTAGAAAAAGAAATATAAAATTTCATTGCGAAAGTTCCATTTGTTCTGTACAAATGTACATATATACCTTCGGGCCTCTTCCTCGCCTTCGTAGGTCTTTTTATGTTGTTGTTTGTAGGCCTCCCATTCTTGGTCCAGTTCTGGTTGGGTCAAACGTGCAGTTGTCACTACAACCAAAACGGCTACCAATAATAGTTTCATCATCTGAAGAAAAAAAAGAAAGATAGTTATGTAATACTAGTACTAGATTTTCATGAATAAGTTTTATTCATCACACTTGACTTTTCTGTACTAGTATCTGGATTAAAGTCACTACATTAATCAACAATAACATTTAAATGATTTCAAATGGAATTGAGAATGGTTATTCATCAAGATGGTCTAAAAATAAAGAGGCAGAAGGTACCAGGGGAACATTAAAAACTCATAAGTCAAAGAGAAACTGACTACGCCATGGAAAAAAAAAGTCAACAAAACACTTCATAATGAAACTCTAAAGATTGATCAAAAAGTAAAATAACAAAAGTACCGAACTTCAAGTAAAATTAAAATAAAAAAAGTCCCTTATCAAATGGCAAAATTAAAAGCTGAAACACATCAAGCGAATGGAAAACAACTGTCATACTCCTGAATTAGTACAGGCATTTCCTTATGTAGAAAATGGTGGATTAAACCTGGTTTTATAGCTAGCTAAAATCTTACTTGTATGACAGTCGCATAGAATTCCATTATATTGATAACAATGTGTGAACAAAACGAACAGACATTTTTTACACATTGTGACTTGGATGGATAGTTGTCTCATTGGCACTCATACCACATCTTCTTATTCATATATAATAATAGGTAAAAATGTCAAAAATAGGGGTACAGCAGTCAACATTGTGTTACAATCTTTAATTATAAAAACAAACAAATATGTCAACAGAAAAACAAAATGGTATATAGACAAAGCACATAAGTAAAAATGAACCCCACCAAATTCTGGAGGTTTTATCAGGTGCTATGGAAGGGTAAGCAGATTCTGATCCACTATAGTGGCATCCGTCATGTTGTATTTTTAGCTTAATTTGTATATACGCTAATTCTTTGTCGTGCAAGGAACACATGGGAGGGAAAAGAAAGTTTAAAGGAAAAAATAAGTATCCCTACAGCCTATATTGTGAGAGCTACCACATCCAAAATCCGGATCATAAGTCGAACTAGTACAAACTGTTTTCTTATTTTTATCAAAATTATACATTATCTCTGAAGATTGTTCACTTGACGTTAAACTCTCATCCATCTATCACAACAGTGATTACCATATAAATCTCTTAACCTAGATTCCTTATTTTAAGGTCGTTTCACAATCATTTATCTTGTGTGTGTATTGACAGGTGGCTCTCCTTTTATCAGTAAATAATCACGTCGTGGAGGTCTAAGTTATTCTGATTTAAGTAAATATGATACTAGTATCTTGACCTTGATTTAAACTGCTGTAAGCATTTAGAACTTCTTTTTTTTCTCTTATTTTAAGACTGGAATACAGAAAGTAAATAGATATTGATAGATAAAAAATATAACATTTTTAGCTAAAATAATAAAAACTGTTTTTCGGAATAAAGTATATTCATAAAAAACCGGTTTCTGGTTATGACTCGTCATTATGTATATATATATATATATATATATATACCTTACATTGTCCGCTCATCAGTTCAGAATTTATTAAGAAATAAAAGTTCTAACTCCCACACGCATATTTGGCCTTATTTTGATTTGGTTACTGTTTTATAGGCCCTTATTGCTCATTTAGTTTCTCGTGTGTTTCAGTACTTATAACGTCTTGGCTTTCAACTGTTTACTTTGAGCGTTCCCGATGAAGATTAAGCAAGAGAAGCTTTTCGAACGCAAACAATGTATAAAGAGGCATTTTCATTTTTTTCAGGATTATTTTACTTCACGTTTAATTTTTCTATGCAAAATAAAGGTAACAGTAGTATACCGCTGTTCAATAGTCATAAATCGATTTAACTGAAACAAAGCCGGGTCACAAACCAAAACTGAGGGAAACACATCAACTATAAGAGGAAAACAACGGAACAACAGAAAAACTGAACTGCTACAAAAACAAACGCCACAAACATAGAAACGGACTATTTGATAACAACAGCCATACTCCTGACTAGGCAATTTAAGAAAAAATGGTGGGTTGAACCTGGTTTTATGGCTAGCCATTTTGCTAAAAATGTGTATTTATACAACATTAATGCCATATGTACATGTATATTAATGTTAACATATTATCAAATTCAGAATTTATGTTTCGTTGATGTATTTAGTTATCACCATTTCTCTGTTTGATATGTGAACACTGTAAACTCATATCAATACACCAAGTACTATTATCTTCCCAGATTACGTTGGTCATAAAAACTGATTTAGAAATGTACCAATATCATCAATAAAGGCATATTTATTTACAAATAAAAAATAGAAAATAAAAATAAAACAAACACAAAATAATCACACACAAAAAAAAAAATATAAACACCCCCGTCCCCCCCCCCCCCCCCCCCCAAAAAAAAACAAAAACAAAAAGCGCGGAATAAATAGTCAAATCACTGCTAATAAGATGAAAATCCACACTGTTGATTGGATTCTCGAAAGCTTTTCAATCGAAAATAAACGAACATGTTTTTGCATTTGAAAAAAAAAACAATGCTGCTCAGTATGAATTGCAGTATGGTATAGACTTGCAAAATCGCCTGCAGCGTAACATAGTGTTTACTTGTAAAAATCGAATTTGAAAACTAAAAAAAATGCTTTAATACAAAAACGTTGACCAGTTTTCCTTCCGATCTATAAAAGTCGAAGGAATGACGATAAGTTATTATTATTACAGAGATGCAATTCAACATGAAATGATAAGTAGATCGATCTGAATTTGTATGATATATTAGCCACTGGACGTTGAACAAACAATTGATCAATCATTCATCGAATCGGTATCATTAAGTAGCAAAAATATTAAAAACCATAGATGGAAAACTTAATAGTAGTGCTATCAATATTAATAAAGATTACCCTTTTTCACGGAAAGTTTAGCAAAAATTTCAGTTTAGAAAGAGTAGACTAAAACCTACCTTTCCGATCTACTTGTAAAGGAAATATGTACAGCGGTTCGCTATGATAACAGTCTTTATTCCAGTCTATCGTTTTTATCTTCTTTTGGTGTGTAATGTGACGGTCATGTGGTCCAATCTAGAACATATGACCTTATCTAATGCACTTATGATATTGAATTTTTGTCTAAATGTCGGGTACGTCTGTAAATAAAATCAAATGGGGGTTATATGTAAACAAAACAGCAACCTAACAACACAAATAACCAACAAACATATATATCTTGATCAACATTTATCTTATTTTACCAGAAATATCAATATTTTGTAAAGAATGTCCAGAGATGAATGTTGTAGTTACACAGTAAACACACAAGGACACACATCAAGGACACATATTTTTTTTTTACTAAAATTGTATCGCAATTAAAGAATACGAAAGCTGTTGCTGAAAAACTGTCGCGGGTTGCGATTTTACATGCAAAACTCCTTCTTAAGTAAGTAAATTGTGCTTTGCCACTATTGGACAGGTAAATCAGGAGGCGGTTTTCCTGTCGACCGACCTGGCCATGCTTCGTTTGAAGTTGAAGCGATAACCAGTTTTCCCCCTTTTAAACATGAATTTGAAATGCATTTCAGAGATTTTGGTGGGGTTCGTGCTGCTCAGTCTTGATTTTTCTATGTAGTGTTTTGTTTTGTTTCTTTTTGTCATGGCTTTGACAGTTTCTCTAGACTAATGAGTTTTAAATGTCCCCTTGATATATTCCGTCTCTTTTTAGCTCACCAGACCCAAAGGACCATGTGAACTTTTCTCATCACTTGGCGTCCGTCGTCCGTCGTCCGTCGTCGTCCGTCGTTAACTTTTACAAAAATCTTTTCCTGTGAAACCACTGGGCCAAAATTAACCAAACTTGGCCAGATATAGAACATAGGGGTAAAATAAAGATTTTGGCTTATATCTCTGAAATCAAAGCATTTAGAGCAAATTCGACATGTGCAAAATTGTTCATCAGGTCAAGATCTATCTGCCCTGAAATTTTCAGACAAATCAGACAACCCGTTGTTGGGTTGCTGCCCCTGAATTGGTAATTTTAAGAAAATTTTGCAGTTTTTGGTTATTATCTTCAATATTATTATAGATAGAGATACAACAGCAATAATGTACAGCAAAGTAAGATCTACAAATAAGTCAAACATGACCAAAATGGTCAATTGACCCCTTAAGGACTTGTATTGCCCTGTATAGTAAATTTTTAACAATTTTTCGTAATTTTTGTTATCTTTTAGAAAAATCTTCTCCTCTGAAACTACTGCGACAAATTTAACCAAACTTGGCCACATACATCATAAGGGTATTTAGTTTAAAAGATATGTCCGATGACCCCGCCAACCAACAAACATGGCCGACGTGGCTAAAAATAGAACATAGGGGTAAAATGCAAGTTTTGGCTTATATCTCTGAAACTAAAGCATTTAGAGCAAATTTTACAGTGATAAAATGTTCATCAGGTTAAGATCTATCTGCCTTGAAATTTTCAGACAAATCAGACAACCTGTAGTTTGGTTGGTGCCCCTGAATTGGTAATTTTAAGAAATTTTTGCAGTTTTTGGTTATTATCTTCAATATTATTATAGATAGAAATAAACCGTAAACAGCAATAATGTACAGCAAAGTAAGATCTACAAATAAGTCAAACATTACCAAAATGATCAATTGATCCCTTAAGGAGTTATTGACCTTAATAGTCAATTTTTAACAGTTTTTTGTAAATTTTTGTAATCTTTTACAAAAATCTTCTCCTCTGAAACAAATTTAACCAAATTTAGCCACAATCATCATTAGGGTATTTAGTTTAAAAACATAGGAGTAAAATGCAAGTTTTGGCTATTATTTTTTGAACCGTTATAATTTAAAAATAGAGAAAATCTGAAGGAGCAAAATTGTTCAGAATAATTAGCTCCGCCAATTGTCCATATATGTCAAAACTGTTAGACTAATTCTTATAGGAGTTATTGCCTATAAATGACAAATTTTACCATTTTTCTTTTATATTTTAGCCTATTATCATGAAAACTTTGATATTTAGAGAGAAACATTTTTCCCCGTTATTCCTTATATGATTTAAATTATAATAGATAATCATAAATAAACACTTTAAATCACAAAAATGATCAGCAAGACAAGATCTATTTAAAAGTCAAATTTTACCGATATAGTTAGTAGACTGTCACTCTTCATAGAAGTGATTGTCCTTAAATGAGGAGTTTTTTACCCTCTTTTGTGTTTTGAGCAAAAACTAAAGAAGATAGAGAGACACTAAACAGACTAAAAGATCGGTAACACAAGATCAACAAAATAGAGATTTTTGTCATGAAGTCTATTCTCGTCTACAATGTTGGAGAGTGTCCTTTGTTTGAAATGCACATAGACCTGGGTGAGCAACACAGGCTCTTTAGGATCCTCTAGTTTTTCTTTTAAAGTAGATTAACTGTATACCGCCATCTTGGATTGTAAAATATCAGTTCACAATAGGTAGTTCTTTGCTTAAATCTGCAAATTTTGAGACAGATTGGCAATAAATAGGTTAGACAATTTATTGGTATATAGATAAATCAGTGATTTATTTTATTATTCAGAATTATTAGGAAATACCAATATTTTTGTTTTTCGAATTACATTCTCAACTTAACCATTTAAGAGGAGATAACTCAAATAGGAATATTTTTTTCAAGTAAAGGAATGATAAATTTTTAACAATTTTTACTTGTAGCAAGAAAACAAGGTCGGTGACACCATTTTTTCTTTTCTTCAAGCATATTTTAAAACCCATCTGCTCATATTTTATATCAAAATTCTATCTCATAGATTTCTGATTATTTACAAAAAATTGTTTTTTCATGAACAATCTATGCAAATTTTAGCAGTTTGCACGACTTGTAGCTTGAAAAATAGCACGTTGACTCATACGTTTTATTATACTTTTGAAAAAAAGCATGGAAAAATTTGCATTCTGCCAAAGTATAAGAAAATTCTATCTGAGGAAATCTATACCAATGATCCACCTTAAAGTAAACTAGTATTTAAATATTACATTATAAATGCCTTAGTGATAACTTTTTTTCTAGAATGCGGGTAGTTGTGGATCAAGTCCCTTGCTGTGTCATACCAAAGACTTCAAAACATGTAATTGCTTCTCTTACAAGCATGCAGCCATGAAGGAGACCGGTTAAAGACTGCTTTGTTGGTAAGCATGTCTTTCAAACTCTTACTTTCTGATCTATCATGTAAAAAATCGACTTACATGTAAAATAAAGCAGGTTATATACATATCTAAATAATATATTATTGGCCTGAATGTGCATGTAATATTTGCCGCTGAACGTCCTTGATTTTATGTATTTAATAACATTTGCTCTATCGTGTTCTTTTTAGTTTAATTGTCGTTAAAATAAAAGTTTTAGAATAATAATAAGTCTAAATTAATATTGACAAACGTCAGGTATAAAAGAATGTTAAGCTACAAAATGCATATATAACGTTCACTCTGAAAAGTATTCAAAATGTATATTCTTATAATGGATTAACGATACAGTATTTTAGATCGGTAATTCGTGTCAATCTGATGCGTTAACTGATGTTTACAGTTTGTTTATATGCTGTGCTGTTACACAACTGTCCCAGGAAAGGAAGGGTTAGGCGCTTGCAAACATATTGAACCACGGCATTCTGTATATGCTTGCATGTGCCAAGTCAAAAGCATGTAATTTAATGGCTTTGTTGGTAGATGTCTATTTTATTTGTTTTCATTTATTGTTTTGTCATAAGTCAGGCCGAATGTTTTCTCGTTTTTTTTTTAACAATTTGTCATGTCGGGCCTTTATAGCTTACTATACGGTATGGGTTTTGCTCATTGTTAAAGGCCAAACGGTGATCTCTAGCTACTACATGTAACATCCACGTCATTTAATCTGTGGAAGATAGTTTTCTCATTGGCAATTATACCACGTCTTTTTATTGCTAGCTATACCAAAAATAATAAAGATTTCAAAATAATTCATCAGAATGATATTTGGAAATAAATTTTTAAACATCTATTATAAAGTATAGGCCGAATTTTGTTGGTCAAATGGATGTAATGCGTACCCTACAATAACTCATAGGGATTACAAAACATGAAGAAATAACTGACACGCGAGATTAGCAAACTTTTAAAACAATATCAAATGTCATTTATAAGGAATGAGTAATGACAAAATTACTCGGCCTAAGTGAAAGGAAAATAAAAAAATGTAACAATTTAATTTTATATTCCCATAATAACAAAAGACAAACACAAAATTTGCCGGATGCACAAATGATTATGTTATTTATTTCATCATGCCACATTTCAATTCTATATGCATATCAATTGTAAAATTATTGTTTACAAACATGCAAGGTCAACATCAGAGCGCAGTTGTTGTCAATGTAACCCCGGAAAATGATGAATGTTTGGGAACCAAATGTAGATATCCATATAGCATTGACTTTCTTTCTATATACAGGAGTTCTGTGTTGCCTTTTCTAATTGAACGATAAACATAATCATCCTTTGATAATGTTTGATAGGTACTGACATACATATCAACGTCCCCTTCTCCCCCAATCGTCATTATTTGGATTCTATTTACATCTGAACCAGATAATTTATGTAATTTCCTAAAATCTAGCCGAAATAATAGAATATTATTTGCTGAGTTCAGTTTAAGGTTTTTTATCTCCATATGTTCACTGATCATACGGATATGATCTTCTACACTACAAATTTCTATACCAACATCAGAAATAGCATGAACGATATAAATCAATTGATAACTGAGATCGTAAGCGGCCTTCAAAAGGCCACAACCAGCATCAATAAAATCTGAAGTTTCATGCCAATAAAATCTACTAGCATATGTAAATAAAATAAAAATTTCTTTCCATTCTAAATTGTCCTTCAAAACACAAGCAACTCTATTAAAAATGCCACTAGAATAGTGGACGTTTAAATCTGGAGTGTAGTCTTTGAAATGAACAATTGAACGCCCATCTTTGTCCTGGTCACATAAATCTCTTGCACCCCATTTTTCGACAACGATTCCATCACCGGCTATATAATCCGTAGTTTTTGTAATGAACCATTCCGCTGCCTCACCAATGATATCAGATATTGATTCACATACGGCTCCTGATTGTCCTGTATATTCCAAATTTGTATGCTCATCTGTAAATGCGTGACCAATTTCATGGCCGATAACATCAAGAACAGCGTACGGATAAAGGAAAAATGGAATCCCGTCACCAATCTCAACAGCAACCTCATGCGGGTCAAAGTGAGCTGTTTCATTTTTTCCATAATGTACAAAAAAGTTGACTGGTGTCTTACTTACTGGGGGCAAATGTATCCAGTCCTTAAACATTTGAAATATCCTTGAACTGTAGTAGTAAACATCACTTAATGGAGAATAGGCATCGTTCACTACATCCTTAAATCCATCAGAACATTTAAATGTAAAAGGTGACTCTGGCTGGTTAAATTTGTTATGCAAATGAAACACACGTACATCCTCGTTCTGGAGTGAACACTGGCTACCGTTTTTCTGTACTTGAAGATATGGCATATCTTCTCCGTATTTATGTTTTCCAGTCTTTATATTACCTCCGACTGATTTAAGATTGTAAGATTTTAGTTTAGGTATTTGTTTAATTATCTGTCCAGTCTCTGCTGAAATAAAAAATCCAGGCATTGACACTTGATTGTTTATTTTCAAACGAAAGGAAACATCATAGACTAAAAATGCTCTGTTATCTAAAGTGTAAATATATGTTCTGATTCTCTCGCTATCAATTACAGCCTCTTTATCGAAGAAGGTGGCATTTTCCACTGCTATTTCTAATGCCCGAATTTTAGAGATAATTTTATTATTCGTTATATCATCTGGAATCTCGTGGAGTAATTTGCCGTCTGCCTGTCCTGTATATTCGTTTGTAGTTTTATCAGTTTCAATCGAAGCATAAGCATCATAAACAGGGATTCCGTTAAATTTTTCCCGGTATTTTACTATGATGGTCCCTTCTGAAGTCAGTTCTGTATCTACCTGTTCGAGTTCTTCAGACTGTTTCATTCCAATAAGGTCGCGTGGTGATAACCGATGTAGGGATCGTCTATCACGTGGATTCAAAGAAACAGAGAGTCTTTGTGAAATACGTTGTGAAACATCTACCCAATGGACTGAGCAACCATTATCAGAGAAAACTACAACATAAAAAGCATATTACAATGTACAATAAAGAAGAGGTTTTATGTATTCCATAAATATTTCTTCAAATATAGAGTCAAGAAAAAACTAAAAATGTGACCTGAAATATATATTTTTTAGCTCACCTGGCCCAGAGGGCCAAGTGAGCTTTTCTCATCACTTGGCGTCCGTCGTCCGTTAACTTTTACAAAAATCTTCTCCTTTGAAACTACTGGGCCAAAGTTAACCAAACATGGCCATAATCATCATTGAGGTATCTAGTTTAAAAAAAAGTGTCCGACGACCTGGCCCGCCAGCCAAGATGGCCGCCATGGCTAAAAATAGAACATAGGAGTAAAATGTAGATTTTGGCTTATATCTCTGAAACTAAAGCATTTAGAGCAAATCTGACATTGTGTAAAATTGTTCATCAGGTCATGATCTATCTACCCTGAAATTTTCAGACAAATCAGACAACCCATTGCTGCCCCTGAATTGGTAATTTTAAGAAAATTTTGCAGTTTTTGGTTATCTTCAATATTATTATAGAAAGAGATAAACTGTAAACAGCAATAATGTACAGCAAAGTAAGATCTACAAATAAGTTAAATGAACAAAATGGTCAATTGACCCCTTAAGGAGTTATTGTCCTTTATAGTCCTTTTTTAACATTTTTTTTGTAAATTTTTGTAATCTTTTACAAAAATCTTCTCCTCTGAAACTACTGTGACAAATTTAACCAAACTTGGCCACAATCATCATTAGAGTATTTAGTTTAAAAATGTGTCCGATGACCCAGGGTGAGCGACACAGGCTCTTTAGAGCCTCTAGTTTTAATCGTTAAAGTGTCAGACGTATTCCGCGTTTCACAGAAGCTAACGACTTTTACGACTAGGATTGGTTGACATGCAATCGTAGGGGGTATTTAGATTACTAGTTTTATCCTGAAACCATATTCCGTCTTTATTTCAGGTTGTAGAATTATAGTAGTATTTAATTATTAAGAAAAAAATGTACGAGAGATAATTTTACAACTGATATCATTTAATTCAAAAATAATATTTAACATATTCAGTACAATTCTACCAACTTTAAAAAATAACAGAAAATGTGCACAATATACAATGTATAAATAACCTTCTCTATCGTGCGGATTCAAGTGTATTATTCCATTAGAAATAAAAACAATTTTAAGGATATTATTCTGTGTTGGACAAACATATAGATTTTTGGATTCCTTTAACTATTAACTTATCATAAAGCAAGTAATCATGCAGAATACTGGCGTTATTAGGATGAAATATATCCCCTTTATTTTAAAATCCCGTAGCTAGAGCATTTGAGAAAAACAATTATTTTTTTAAAGGTATATTAATTAAATAAATGTTTTCAATATTTTGCATGAAATTTAAAAAATTCAACCAGGAACACAAAATTCGAATTAAAAAGAAATGTTAAACAAGTAATTCACATATGTTTCCATGCATGACATTGTAACACAAATACATGTATGATAAGGGTACTGCTCACGGACTGTGTTCACAGAAATACATGTATGATAAGGGTACTGCTCACGGACTGTGTTCACAGAAATACATGTATGATAAGGGAACTGCTCACGGACTGTGTTCACAGAAATACATGTATGATAAGGGAACTGCTCACGGACTGTGTTCACAGAAATACATGTATGATAAGGGTACTGCTCACGGACTGTGTTCACAGAAATACATGTATGATAAGGGAACTGCTCACGGACTGTGTTCACAGAAATACATGTATGATAAGGGAACTGCTCACGGAATGTGTTCACAGAAATACATGTATGATAAGGGTACTGCTCACGGACTGTGTTCACAGACAATATTAAGTTCATAGTTATGATATATTAATCGGTGTTTACTCCGGATTCCTTTACCAATAAACACGGACCGCCTTGAAATAGCAAAAAAAAAACAGTGTTGAAAATGGCATTAAAAACCAAAAAAATCAATCAATCAATCAGTGCTTACGTCTAAATTGTATGATATATTTTTGATAAATTTTAATTGTTAACAGTCTGTCATTATCCCTTTAATGTCTGTTATCCTTAAGAATGGAACTTGTCATTCGATGATGACAAATTTGTTTCCCATTTTTCCTGCCGGGGTCTTTTATAGCTTACTATACGGTATCGGCTTTGATTATTGTTGAAGGCCGTACTGTGACATATTATTACTCAAATCCACGTTATTTGGACAATGTTGGATACCACATCTCCTTATCTTATAGTCTAATGTTCTCGTCATATCAAATGTAGAAATAAAAATGACAAGAAATATGTAAAAATAGTCTTACCCAACAGGAGGTACATGTAGCTAAACATGTATATTCTCTCCATTATATATTTGTATGTCTTTTGTCAACGTAGTGATCTATTTATATCCGCTACACTCTCTCCGCTATTAATTTCTTGTCAACTTAGCTTCTATTTATACTAGCTACATTCCTATTCATCGTAGTTAACCCCACAAAATATACTAAAATTGACTTCAGTATATTTTAGAAATATCAGTTTAAAGGTTACATGTAGTAAATAAAATTATTCTAATGCCCACAATTTTCTGTATCATTAAATCTGATGGGTAAATTATATATGCAGTATTGTGTGAATTGTAAAGGTCAATTATTGTGGATTGTCAATCATCCCACAAATTAATTTGAAGTGTCAATTGCTTTTGTCATAAGCCTTACTGGTGTACGGCCTGTCTGGCATGTTGAATAAGTGCTTATAGTAAAACTGATTTTAATTGGCAGTAAACATCTTGAAACATTGAAAAAGATTTTACCGCTGCTGAGAAACATTATCGATATTGTTTTCATTGAGATTTCTTGGATTTCGTTAGTATTATGTTTTATAAGATGTTTGTTTGGTTTCGTTACTACTGTGTTTTATAAGATATAAAAATGAGAATGGAAATGGGGAATGTGTCAAAGAGACAACAACCCGACCAAAGAGCAGAAAACAGCCGAAGGCCACCAATGGGTCTTCAACATAGCGATAAAATCCCGCACCCTGAGGCGGGCTTCAGCTGGCCCCTAAATAAAAGTGTGTACTAGTTCAGTAAAAATGGACGTCACACTAAACACCAAAACATATAAATGAACTAAAATTAAAAAAAAACATACAAGACTAATAAAGGACAGAGGCTCCTGACTTGGGACAGGCACAAAAATGCGGCGGGGTTAAACATGTTTTGTGAGATCTCAACCCTCCCCCTATACCTCTAGCCAATGTAGAATAAACAAACACACAGCAATAAGCACAGTAAAACTCAGTTTAAAAGAAGTCCGAGTCCGATGTCAGAATAGGTAACAAAAGAAACTAAGCAAAATGACAATGGTATATAAATTAACAAAGGTCAACTAGCAGTTACTGACATGCCAGCTCCAGACCTCAATTAAACTGATTGAAAGATTATGTCTTCATCATATGAAAATCAAGCACAATCCCTCCCGTTCGGGGTTTAGCATCATACCATCATAAAATATATGAGATGAACATAACCCGTGTCATGCCAACAACTGGTTTTAGAATAAATGTGTTATTTCCGATGCAAAGACCCTATGAGTGAATCAATATCAATACCAAAATATGCAATTTTTAATGACCTGACAACAGTATCGTAACTATATCCTTTCTGAATAAGTCTGTTTAAAGGTTTGGTTAGCTTTTGAGGTGAGTGCCGACATTTTTGTGCTTTGTATAGAATATTACCATAAAAGATTGGATGTGGAATACCTGATCGTATAAGATGTCTGCATGTTGATTTATATTTACGAATGATGTCCTTGTACCGATAATAAAATTTAGTAAATGTTTTGACTAGTTTGTGATATCGGAAACCCTGGTGTAACAATTTTTCATTAACTCAGAGATTTCTTTCGTTAAAATCAAATACGTTGTTACATACACGAGCGAATCGAACAAGTTGAGATATATAAACACCATAAGATGGTGAGAATGTCACCATCTAAAAATGGCTAATTAATAATAGGAAATGAAAAATCATCTCTTTTATCATAAATTTTGGTGTTAAGCTTCCCGTTTGTTTGGTTTCGTTAGTACTGTGTTTTATAAAAAAAAAATCATGGGGTTATTTACCATGTCGTTCTATAAGAAGGTTCTTTGGTTTCGTTAGTGCTGTGTTTTATAAAGAGGTTCTTTGTGTCTCGTTAGTGATGTATTTTATAGATTTTTTAAAAACATTTCGTTAATATTGTGTTTTAAAATAACTTCAATCGGTTTTGTAAGTGTTGCGTTCTATATAAAATAATTCAAGGATTTCGATAGTATTGTGTTTTATAGGAACTTTCTTTAGTTTCCTTTTTGTTCTGATTTACAAAAAAGTTTCTTTGGTTGCATGTACGAGAGTGTTGTGTTTTGTAAGAAGCTAGTATCTTGGAGTTTCGTTAGCGTTGTGTTTTATATTGTATGGCCATGCTTGGTTTTCGTTAGTATTCTGTTTTATAAAAATGTCATTGGTTTCGTTTATATAGTATTCTGTTTTATTAGAAGCTTTTTCGGTTTCGTTAGATTCCGTGTTTTATATGAAATTTGTTCTGCGACTTTAGAGTTAAATTAAAGTTGTATAATCAGTTTTGTTTGGGCTGTTTCGCAAGTATTTTGTTTAGTAAGATGTCTTTGCGTTACGTAAGTACATGTGTTTTACTGAGTCGTACATTTTACGTGGTACCTGTCTTTGTTAAGGATGTTTTACTATACAAGCCCTTTCTTTTTGTCATCTATAACTCCTTGGGATCAACTTTCATAAATAAAATGAGTTAGTGAGACAAACCGATAACCCCAAAAATTCAATGATAAAGACTGTTGATTTACGTATCTCCTGATCAATATCATATTTCTTCTCAAGATTACATACACGGCAATTGAACAAAGTTAAGAATATACTAAATGGACAAACATGTTTCAAGAGGGTCCAAAGTTTAATTGATATGAGATCCTTAATGT